AGCAGGAAGCCACTGTCCAGCCAGCACCCAAAATCACCAATAATGAAGCAAAATCCATAGCAAGGTCAACAGGCAGTCCTCCTAGCAGGCGCAGTCAGGCATAAACAAGGCACAAGGTTACTAGCTCCCTCCCCAACAACAACTTCCAGACAAACCACAACTGTCGAGGGTTCAAATCAGTCCTTACCTCATGCAAATGAGGTAAGGTGTGACAAAGTTGAGTCTTTAGGAGGTTGAGGGAGGGGTGGGACTTTCACGAAGACCATTATACCCAGGTATCAGTTCCAGCATCAAGGCACAGCCCAAAACCACACAAGGAAAACATCCAGGCAAGAAGGAAGTACATTCAAGCAACAATCAAATTGGGGTAAACCTTCTCAACACACAGGCCTGCCCAAATTCATGTCAAGAACACCAGGTGCTGGTTACCCATGCACCCCCTGTAGTATCCAAGACAACCCTTAACCAAACTCAGGATCAAAGTCACCAAAAATGCCCAAAAAGCCTGAAATGCAGTTACAATTACAGCCCCAAGGAACCCAAACCAGCAGCGCCATGAATGCCTTATGAGCTCCATAATCTAGCCACTGCAATTCACAAATTGTATGTGTCCAGCCACTGCATATTCCAGCAAAGATTGCCCATGAACAGCCTGCCTTAGCACCTGCAAGTACCTTCAAGCAATGGTCATTCCCTCCACATCTGTGGCCTCCCCTATTGGCTCGTCCAAAACCATTGGGGGGGGGGAACAAGCAGGTCATATGTGGTTGAAGGGTGCAGTATCATAGTCAATGCAATTCAATGGTAAATCTCCATGGAAATCAAAGTAATTTAACCCCACAGCTGAAATAGTTCAGCCCTCATATCATGCCAGTGGTACAGTCCAGGGCATAGCAGAACATCATTCAAATAGATGCATTCGAACAGAAATAGTTAAGACAACCAACAAGAATCCACGAAATTGAACTCCACATCAAGCAAAACAATTAAAGTCCAATGTCTCGGATGAACAGTAAATTCGCAGTCCAAAAATTCCTCAAATCATATGGAAATTCAAATGGATATGGAATCCACCCTCAAAACTTGAAAGGGGGACACATATTAGTCATAATCCCAGGAATTAAGCCATCGAAGTTACCTGCATCGTCGTGAAACCAAAAAACGAGCAAAGGTGAACAGTACAAACCACGGCGTTGACTTTCAAGTCATCGAAGAGCATCTCAAAATTCAGCGTAAAAAGCTCTGATATGGATTCCCACGCTGTTGGCAAACCCAGAGTTCCAAAAATATGAAGCAATCGGCTCAAATTGATGGAGGAATCGGAAGAAACTCCCTCGCGGTACTGTTCATCCCGCGGGTAGAGAGAGAGAAACGCCGGCCTCCATTATTGAGAGCTATTGAGAGCTCTTTCAAGGATAAAATGTAAATTATTAATATCCGAGAGTCAATACCAAGTACATACACGAAGTAAACATAAAATGCATCGGGGCATACCCCTATAAAATCAAAATAAAGGTGGCACACACGCCAAAGGCACGCACGCCCAATCAACAAAAACATGAGTAACAAGCACAAGGAAATAAATGTGTATCACATGGATACATAATCACCATAACCATGGCTCGTCCTCGTTATTCTGCATCAGCGTCATCAATGGGTCATCAAAAGGAAAGAAAATCCTCAACAAAACTCCAAAAGTGAGACACCACTGGAGGGCTTTATAAATCATCAAGACATCAAACCAAAAGGGGTCATTTGCGTCATTGTTGCCACTACAACGACAAGTCCTCAACATGTGTAGGCTCATCAAGTTCACCCTCAAGGAATAGATGTCAAGACCCAAATCCACAAGTTCAGCATTAGCCACATTGCCAGAGTAAACTCAGCCATACCTTAACAGAGACGGCATTGACATTTGGCCCATGTAGACTCCAATAGACCAGGCCTGATGTCATAAAGCACGATAGAAACACCCAGTCTGGCATCCAAACTAACTCAATGGGTTATGGCTTCCCAAGAAGTCTCAGCTTTCACACACTAGGGGGGTCCAACGTACCCTTCCCTTGACAGTGTTGAACACTGGAGCCTCAGGCTCACAATGGCTTCCCAACAGAGATGTTAGGGATGCAGCTCGAAATGCATAAGGAAAACCCACCCAAAGCTGTTCAAGGACTCCAAACTGGGGGAGAAGGGCACGGCTAGTTCATGGCTAAGAGAGTCCTCAATCACTCACCCACAGAGATGGCCTCAAGCCACTGCCCAATGGCGTTCAAAGCCTAAAACCAGTCCGAAGAAGGTTTAGACCCCAAAACCAAAGCAGCACAGGTTGATTCAGAGCCCAACTCAGTCCCAAACCAGCCGCACAAAGGTCATGTTCTGCCCATATTCCTTCAGCTTTGATCCCATGCATTTGCCATAGGCCAAGGTTAAAATGGACACAAACAGTGGTAGACCACACCATGTCAAACAGCCACAATCCCCCAGGGATTCAACATGAACACAAGTCACGGTCTCACCCAAGAGAATGGCCAAAACACCTCTGCCCAACTTCATATCAAGAACTGCCAGTGGGAACTTAGGAGGCAGCCAAACATCTCAACACACACCTTCACAGGGAAGCAGCAAGAAATGTAAAGCAAACCATGTTCAACACTTCCCATACCAGCTTCATGGGCAGGAACTACCCATGGGCAGTCCTAACCGAATCAGTGCAGGCCAAGGATGAAGAACAGTCACAAACCAGCAAATTCAAGATGAAAACCTTCCACAAGAGTTATGATTAGTTAACATTTCAGTTACCATTGTAGCTGCAATAAGGGAGTACAGGCCAGCAAAGAGCCAGGGCAAACCAAAAATTGCAATGTTGAAGGAACAGTAACGAAGAACATGAACAGTGTCACGAAGCAAGGATTCAAAGGTGACCAAAATCCATTGTTTGATTCAGAAAACAAGGACCAGAATCTTGAATCCCCTTAGAATTCGACCAAGAAACCAAAGGATTGAAGCAATCACAAGCAAAAAACCTGGTTAATTCCGGAGAGCAAACCTCGCTGTGAACAGTGCTCAGAATCCAGAAAAATTGCTCAAATCAGAGGAGACATGAACTGGAACGGAAATCCAACTTCAGCCCTTGAAAGAGTAACCCAATTCGCTCATAATCCCTCAAAATCCAGCAATCAAACGTGCTTCAACAGAGAGTAGTCGAGCAATCCAGTGCCGCTGATGAACAGTGACACGAAGTATTTGACTTCCGATTTCTCCTCCATCCAGCAACGAAATCCAGAAATTGAGCCTAGAATTGGAATCCTTGGCTCAAAACGATTCAAGAGCAAGAAGAATCGTGTCAAAAACATCAAAAATCAAGATGGAGTCGGAGGTCAACCCCATGGATGAACAGTGTCTCGCGACTTGCCCAGCCTAGAGAGAGAAACACGTCTGATTCCATATTGAGAGCTCTTTCAACGGGTAACATGTAAATTATTATTACCCAAATCAAACGTATACAAATACAAAGTGTCAACAGCTTAACCACAACGTGGTTACTTGCTTAAGTTATAACTATCTATAAAGAAATTACAACTCACTTGTAGTACATTGAGAGCTCTTTCAAGGGTAAAATGTAAATTATTATTACCCACTCAAACATGTACACCAATGTTATATGCTTAACCATCAACATGGTTATCACATAAATACAATATTACAACGCTAAATAATCAACATACAAACAACGGGGAGCTACAAACATCTATTACAGAGGTTACAATCATGCTTAAACAATTCCCTTCGAAGAGCATCTCTTCTACAACACAGGGCCAGAAAGACAGGCAATAGTAACATGTCGAAGCATTCATGTTCATCATCAGGTCCGGGCTTATTCATTTCCCTTCAAAGAGGCAACCTCTTCTACAACACAGGGAAGCCAGCAACCAGGCAAGAGTAGCAAATCAAAGCTTAAAGTTTCCATTATCACGTCACAGAAGTCACATCATCATTCAGTTGTTAGAGTAACCAGTTTGGGGGTTAAGTAAGTAACAGCGGTGTACAGGTTAATCAACAAAGGAGGCCAGGCAGTGTTGGCTCTCTTAGGCAGTGTGCTCTTTCAAGATTTGTCTGGTTAATTCCGTTAACGAACGAGACCTCAGCCTGCTAACTAGCTATGCGAAGGTATCCCTTCGTGGCCAGCTTCTTAGAGGGACTACGGCCTCTTAGGCCGCGGAAGTTTGAGGCAATAACAGGTCTGTGATGCCCTTAGATGTTCTGGGCCGCACGCGCGCTACACAGATGTATTCAATGAGCGTATAGCCTTGGCCGATAGGTTCGGGTAATCTTTGAAATTTCATCGTGATGGGGATAGATCATTGCAATTGTTGGTCTTCAACGAGGAATTCCTAGTAAGCGTGAGTCATCAGCTCGCGTTGACTACGTCCCTGCCCTTTTTACACACCGCCCGTCGCTCCTACCGATTGAATGATCCGGTGAAGTGTTCGGATCGTGGTGATGTGGGTGGTTTGCTGCCCGTGACGTTGCGAGAAGTCCGTTGAACCTTATCATTTAGAGGAAGGAGAAGTCGTAACAAGGTTTCCGTAGGTGAACCTGCGGAAGGATCATTGTCGAACCCTCGCGGTAGAATGACTTGCTAACCTGTACCAATTATTGATTCGAGTGTCGGGGTGCTGTCTTTCTGATTTGCCCAGACGAACAAAAACACCGGCGCAGCAGCGCCAAGGAATATAATAATGAGTGTGCAACCTTGCAGAGCTCAATTATGTTGCCTGTGAGCTTCGCATCCTTTTAATAAAAATGACTCTCGGCAATGGATATCTCGGCTCTTGCATCGATGAAGAACGTAGCGAAATGCGATACTTGGTGTGAATTGCAGAATCCCGTGAACCATCGAAACTTTGAACGCAAGTTGCGCCTCAAGCCATTGGGTTGAGGGCACGTCTGCTTGGGTGTCATGCACTATGTCTCCCCTCTCGTGTGTGGAGTGGGAATAGATCCTGGCCTCCTGGGCCCTTCCTTGGGCGTGGTTGGCCGAAAATGTTGTCCTGGATTTTGTTGATGTCTTGGTGAGCGGTGGATGTGCCAGGGGTGCATAGTTGCCAGCCTTGCTCGACTTCATTGTGGCGTTGGGATCCTATGAAGCTGCCGGTTTTGGCTCTTTGATTGCGACCCCAAGTCAGGCGAGACTACCCGCTGAGTTTAAGCATATCATTAAGCGGAGGAGAAGAAACTTACAAGGATTTCCTTAGTAACGGCGAGTGAAATGGGAACAGCCCAGCCTTAGAATCGAATGGTTTTGCCGTTTGAATTGTAGTGTGGAGAAGCGTCCTTAGCGGCGGACTGGGCCCAAGTCCCCTGGAAAGGGGCGCCGGAGAGGGTGAGAGCCCTGTCGGGCCTAGACCCTGTCGCACCACGAGGTGCTGTCTTAGAGTCGGGTTGTTTGGGAATGCAGCCCAAATTTGGTGGTGAATTCCGTCCAAGGCTAAATACAGGCGAGAGCCCGATAGCGAACAAGTACCGCGAGGGAAAGATGAAAAGAACTTTGAAAAAAGAGCCAAAGAGTGCTTTGAAATTGTTGTACTGATTCTGGTCACAGGGGGAAGTATTCTCTGTGAACAATTCTAGTCTATTACACACACACTTATATCGTTGTGATAAGCAAAGTGCTAAAACACTCCCTCTGTCACAACCAGTCACATGCAGCAAGAGAAATAAAAACAGTAAAATAGACACAAGAATTGTTTACGCAGTTCGGAGCAATTCTCCTACTCTGCGGGGCCCACGTCCGTGTAATAGCCCGTCCACTAAATCACTGCAAAGATTACAACTTCAACCACCGTAGGTACCAGTTAGTGGATTGAACTAATCTATTACAGATGACTTAAACACATAACTCTGTTAGTGTTTCTCTCAATGGCATATTACACCAACCTCGATAACTTCTGTTATTGGACGTGCTGACAGCCCTTTCTCCAGCACTTCTTAGTTCACCAGCTGGATGTGGTTTTCATCAAAACAAAATATGGATCTGCAATATGATCTACGAACCGGCCAAAAATTTCTTGTGCTCACAACAGCACCATATATCAGGAAGAACCGAATATGGTTATCTTCTGATCTCCTTTTGCAGCTAGGGTTTGTGGCTCTCTCAATTTCTCGCTGGATGTATTTCTGCGTACTCTCTCCAATCATCAACGTGGGATCATATCTATACTTATATAGGAACATATGAGCCCTAGTTATATCTGCACTTGAACTCTTCGGCAACTGACATTCCTAGACTGCATGGGTCTCTATTTTAGCTTCGTAGGGATCAGGGATCATCTTCCACTTGTATACGGAAACATATGCGTGACATGGCAGGACTCTACACCCAACCAGCTACTACGTACGTACAAACAAACATTCCTATTTATTTGTTTTTGTCACAAGGATAAGGCCAACAAAGAATAAACAAAATAAACAAAAGCTCTCCCCCTTAGTAACTAACCCAGAGAACTAACAATCTCCCCCTTTGTCCATCCTTTCGGACAAAAACAAATACTTGACTCTCTGGCCTGTTGAACCTCTTCTCTGTTAAAATAATAGACCAACGCTAGAGGGGGGGTGAATAGCGTTTGATCGGAGAAATCGCAGGAATTTAAAAATTGAAAGAGAAGTAAAGAGAAGAGTAAAAGGCACACCGAATTTTACCCTGGTTCACCACAACTTGTGGCTAATCCAGCCTCCCGAGAGACTCTCTCGAGCTACACTACTATCTCGTTAAGCTTGCGGGTGCTTAACAAACCGTTACAACTTGAGAGTTCGAGTCACACGAACCTCAACGAATCCTTCAAAGGAAACAGACCT